ATACAAATACTTGGTGTTTCGGTGTAAAAAGAGAAAAGAGTTTAACCCCACTAGGAGTAATAAACGAAGTTGTGAAGGAGACCGATCACCTTGGAGAGGAAGAAATCAATCTACCCAGAAAAGGGGAGATGTGAGAGATCATCTGGGATCTCATCAATCAAATTTGCAACCTTGATACATACCTGAGTAGTTCACTCCACTCAACACCTTGATAGCTTAGGTGTTACATCAGATTCAAAAAGAGAAGTACCTCAAGTGGCCCTCCAAGATGAAGTTAGACCCCTACAAAAGGGATCATACCAAGTATTGCAACTTCCACTGTGACCATAGCCATGAAACCGACCAATCCACCTAGTTCAAGAAGGAAATCATAATACATAGGGGTAGATTAGGTGTTTCGTTGCTCAATGGTGAGGAGCGAGCTAAATAAGTTCCAGAGAAGCCCCAATAAAGGACGTAACAACGTCAACAAGCTCTAGGCAAAATCAGAGTAATCTTAGGAGGCTTAGTAGGCGATGAAGAATCTAACTCGGCTAGAAAGGCTGAGGAAGGTCAGGTCAGAAGAATTCCTGGAAGTGAAAATTGTACGTAAGGCTTCACGTCTCAGACACAAAATTACCTTCTCGAACTCTGATCTTGAGGGGATGCCAACTCCCCCATGATGACCCTTTGGTCGCAAAGACAATCATTGCAAATAAAACTATGCATCATGTGCTCGTGGAGCACGGAAGCTCAACATAAACCATTTTCTCAAGAGCCTTTGATAAGTTACATATTGGCAAGGAGAAGCTCGAGCTAGTTAAAACACACTTCCTCGAGTTTTCTGGTGGGAAAGTCTTCCTCCTAGGCTCAATCTAGCTCGTGCTCACCTTGGGAGAGCCCTCATATCAAACCACAACCATAACAAAATTACTCTTTGTGGATGCACCTTTGGCTTACAACATGATCCTAGGGAGGCCATCCTTAAATTCAATCAATGTCATTCCCTCTGCCTACCACCTCTTGATGAAAATTTCCTATGAAGAATGGGGTTAGGATCATAAGAGGAGATTAGTGGATGGCCAGGGAGTTTTACACATCATCCATGAGACAGAAGGAGGTTGACTCTATTCATATAGATGACGTGGACATGAGCTATGAGAGATACAAGACCTACTCCCTTGAAAGAATTGGAGCTTGTGTAGATGGACGAAAATCCCGAACAATTAGTCTTTGTTGGATCCAAGTTGTTGGCATTCTTGAGAAATAGCTTAGATGTGTTCATTTGGAGGCAAGATGATATGCAGGAGATTGACCCCAAGGTGATCGTCCACAAGCTAAGTCCGAGCTGCAAACTTATCAAGCAGAATAAAAGCCTCATAAAGGCCAAAGGCAATCAATGAGGAGATATCCAAGCCTCTTCAAGCCAAGGCCACAAAGGAGGTGGACTACTTGAAGTGGTTAGCCATTGTGGTACTCTTGAAAAAAACCAATGGAAAGTGGTGTTTCCCTTTGCCTCGAATTGTCCTCATAGGAGATTCAATAGCAAGTTATAAACTCTTAAGCTTCCTAGATGCCTTATTAGGATATAACTAGATCAAGATAGATCTTGACGATCAGGAGAACACACGTTCATGATCGAGCAAAGGACCTTTTTTTACTAGCTTATGCTCTTTGGGCTCAAGAATGCTAGAGCCACTTATCAGCGATTGGTAAACAGAATGTTCATGGAAAAGATCGGATCAACAATAGAGGTCTACATCAATTAAATACTAGTGAAAATTTTAAAGGTAGAGCTCCACATCCAACACCTTGAGAAGTCATTCCAAATCATTAGGAAGTATGGGATGAAGCTCAACATTGCCCAATATGTCTTCAAGGTCTTGGCTGGGAAGTTCTTAGGATTCATTATCAACAGAAGAGAGATCGAGGCGAATCTAGAAAAGGTAAAAATAGTAATCAACCTGAAATCACCCAACAATATCAAATAGGTACGAACCGTTTCGTTTTACAATCTAGTGACAAATGTCAACCTGTCTTCAAGCTCCTCAAACTTTTTTTCAATGGAATGACTAGTGCGAGGAGGCTTTCCAGGGCTTGAAAACTTACCTAAGCTATTCTCTTATGCTAGTCAGTCGAAAAGAAGGGGAAGTCCTTAACCCTATACCTAGCTATGTTAGATTTCTCAGTTAGTGCAGCCTTAGTAAAGGAGGAAGGGAAGAGGTAGCAACCTGTGTATTTCTGTAGCCGAGCTCTAAGATGAGCAAAGGAAAGATACTCCATAATTAAGAAGTTAGCTCTAGCATTGGTGATGACGGTAAAAAGATTGAGACCTTACTTCCAATCTTATTCCATCGAAGTTCGAACTGACCAACCTGTGAAACAAGTCTTACATAAACCTAAATCCTTAGGGCGGCTGTTCAAGTGGGCCATCGAGCTAGGTGAGTTTGTTATCAAGTTTAAGTCCACAACGGACATCTAGGGGCAAGCCCTAGCTAACTTCACACAAGCAAGAAACTATCCCAAAAAAGTAGTGTTTCGCACTCGACCTCCCAATAGGGAAACTCTTTGTTGATGGAGCCTCCAACGCACAAAGAAGTGGAGCTAGCCTCATCTTGATCTCTCCAGATGGCATTAACCTAGAGTATGCTTTCAAGTTTGACTTTAAAGCCTTGAACAATGAAGCCGAGTATAAAGCTATGATAGTAGGACTTAGGCAGTCACATTCCATGGAAGCACATCAAATTTTGATCCATAGTGACTCTTAGCTTGTGGTAAGACAAGTCAAATTAGAGTAAGAAGCAAGGGAGGACAAGATGGCTTCATACCTGAAAATGGTGCAAGATCTGTTGAGAAAGTTCATCCACACTAAAGTTGTTCAAGTACCCTGAGCTAAGAATACTCGACCTAATGCCTTAGCCAAATTTGCCTCTATAGACTAAGGGAATCTTGATAGAATCATTCCTGTAGAGGACCTAAATGAAGCAAGTATCCACCTTGACTAAGACAAAGAGAGATCCTATCAATAGACGTCATGTCGAGCTGGATGGACCCGTTTATCGGCTAATTACAAGATAGAGCTCTTCCCCAAGATCTTAAAGAAGATGCCAATTATGTGCTAATAGAGATTCATGAAGTCATATGTAGAAATCACATATGAGCTCATACTCTAAATACAAACCATTGAGGTAGGCTAATTTTGGCCCACTATGATGAAAGATTCTACACAAATGTTCAAGAAGTGCAAGACCTTCCAGTTGCATTCAAACATCCCTCACTATCTACCAGAGCAGCTCACACCAATATTGATCCCATGGCCTTTTGGGACCTTTTCCCATCGAAGTAGGATAGTGCAATTTTTTCATGGTAGCAATTGATTGCTTCACAAAATGGGCTGAGGTCGAGCCTCTAGCAACTATTACCGAGCAAAAAAATAGAAAATTCATTTGGAAATCAATTGTGTGTAGGTTTGGAATCCCAAGAGACAATGTGTTTGATAACGGCAAACAGTTTGAAAACTCAAACTTCACAAAATTTTACTCAGAGCTAGGCATAAAGGATTCCTTCTCAACTCCAGCTTACCCCCATTCCAAAGGTCAAGTAGAGGTTACAATACGAATGATTTTCAATGCTCTAAAGGCAAGACTGGAGGCATCAAAGGGCCAGTGGATAGATCACCTCCCAATCATGCTCTGGCCATATAGGATGACAACTCAAATAGCTACAAATGAAACTTCCTTCAGCCTAGCCTTTGGGACAGTGGTTATTGCGCTAGTGGAGATCGGGCTTCTATCTCTTATAGTTGAACTTTTCAATCTCGACCAAAATGATTGATCTCTAATTGTGAACCTTGACTTGCTTGACGAGAAAAAGAATGAGGTGTTGTAGAGGATCTTCTCTTATCAAAAAAGAATAACATAGTATTGCAATCGAAGAGTTAGAGGCAAGAGTTTCAAGGTTGGGGACCTTGTCCTAAAGAAGCTGTTACTTGCAAGGAAAGATCCAAGGCATGAAAAGCTAGGCCCCAATTGAGAAAGACCTTATATAGTGAAAAGGGTAGTCAGGTCCAGTAACTACGAGTTATAGAATGAAGAAAGGAAATACTTGGTGCATTCATGGAACGTAGACCACCTGAAGAAATTCTACCAATAACAGGTTGGATGCGCTTAATTTTAAAATTTGTGAACACTGCTTCTCAGAGGACATTTGTTAATATTTGAGATTAATTAAATCTATGCAAAATCTTTGCACACAAAAATTTTGTAGTACAAAAAATTTTTCTAAGTTTCGAATATAGATGAAGCTTTCCAACTCGACTACTAAAGGTGAGATCTTCAACTCATACTTGAGATATGCTTTTCAGCTTATGAAGCTTTTCATCTCGTTCTAAAGATGAGCTCTTCACCTCATACTTAAGATAAGCTTTTTTAGCTTATAGAATTTTTCAGCTTATAGAGTTTTTCAGTTCATTCCACATAAGACCTCTTTAGCTCATACATGAGATAAACTTTTCAGCTCTTTTTATAGGTGAGCTATTCAGCCCATACTTGAGATAAAATTTTTAGCTTATAGACATTTTCATCTTATTCTAAAGATGAGTTCTTCATCTCATACTTGAGATAAGTTTTCCAACTTATAGAGCTTTTCAGCGGATTCTAAAGATGAACTTTTCAGTTCATACTTGAGATACACTTTCCAGCTTATAGAGCTTTTCAGCTCTCACAAAGTTTGACTAAGTTCTAAGTCACTAAGTCCAGGTGGCCACCTAGGGCTAGGACTTTGTCACTAAATCTGTAAAAGATCCTTTATTGCTACAAGGCTTCTACTTTCTAGTAAATGATTGGGGCAAAGATTTATTGATATATCTTACACAAGAAAAATAAAAGAAAATGTAGGTTGTATTACAAAAGGAGGAAGTACAAGACAAGAGAAGTAGCAATGAAGTTATAGACTCTTAAGATGAGCATGGAAAGATCTTTGGGAAGGCCCGCCCTTCAACATGATGGATCAGTTCCCCCGGTCTATTGCTTAGTCCCCTCTGTAGCAACAGGGGTAGTCGAGGTATAAAGAGGCAGCTTAGTACTAGTGGATTGCTTATCTGGCTCCCCTTCATCTCGATCTTCTTTAGTTTTCTCAACTACCCCTTGGTGGGGCACAAAGGAATCAAAGTTTAGATTAGGGAAATTCTTAGTGGCTTGATCTTTGAAATCTTCATAGCCATTGGCATAGTTTTCATAACACTCGATCTTCCAATCATTGATGATCTGATCCCTAGCCTTCATGAAAGACATCAATCCCTCGACTTCCTTCTTCAGCTCAGTGGATTCCTCCTTGGCCTTTTCTTTCTCTAACTCGGCAGAGTCCACAACGCCAACTATTTTTCTCAGTTCTATTTCCCTGAGCTTTAAATTGTCTTCAAGATTTCCTTCTAAAGATCTGAGTTGGCTGATCTAGGAGGACTAGTCTTCCAGTTTCTTTTGAGCATGGCCCAGGTTAACCTTGCACTTTTTCAGCTGCCTTCTCAGACTTCTGAACTCTTCCAAGGAGGGCACTAGCGTGAGTAGCAGCTTGCAAGAAATATGTGCTAAATAAAAAACAAAGAATTAAGGCAAAAGCTCAAAGTAAATAAGAGATAAAGCCAATACCGAAATGACACCATGAAGGGAATTTGTAGACTCATCATTGGCACTAAGCATTGCAAACTTGAAAGTGTCTGACTAAGGTAGGATGCTTAATATCTTGGTGTTGGCCAAAGTNTTGTCATTGGCACTAAGCATTGCTAACTTGAAAGTGTCTGACTAAGGTAGGATGCTTAATATCTTGGTGTTGGCCAAAGTAATGTTAGCGAGGAGTGAGCTCCCGTTTGCATTAGAAAGGGTTGAGATTAGCCTCAAAGAAACAGGTAGAGTTACCTTAGAGGCCGATGGAGTCTGAGTAGAAGGAACATTGAGTTCCTTGGAAGCTGCTTGAGAAGGATCGATAGTGGGGAGATCTCTTTTGTTGGTCGAAGTCATCTCAGGGTCCTAAGTTCCTTCGGGGAGGTTAAGAGTTTTCTCCCCTCNCGTGCGCATTAAATGCACATGCATGCCTCCCCACGTGCCACAATTGTAATGCCCCCAAAACCACCTTGGACGGCATCACAATCTAAACTATTCAAGCATTAGAGCAACTAAATAAATCCATCATTAAAGAACCTCTCATTCGTCANCATGCGCATTAAATGCATATGCATGCCTCCCCACGTGCCACAATTGTAATGCCCCCAAAACCACCTTGGATGGCATCACAATCTAAACCATTCAAGCATTAGAGCAACTAAATAAATCCATCATTAAAGAACCTCTCATTCGTCANTTTTAAGCCGAGGAAGCTTGAATCTGGTATTAAGGGGAGACGTGGGGTCCAAGGGTTTGGTCAGATGTCCTTGTTTCTCCCTTCTCCTCTTTATAACTTCATGAACTTCACTCAATTCAGGTGCCATAGGGTTAAGGTCTGGAAAAGGTAAGAGGTAATATCATAAAAGTATGAGGAGAAAAAAAAATTAAAATGGGGTTTCATTGGGCTTCAAGAAAAAAGTCCTTGTCCTTAGAAGAGGCAGAAGTGGAAGGACCTGGAGCTTTTTCAAACACTAGAGGGCCAAGACCGTACCTCACTAGCTTCTTAGNCGGGTTCCACGTTCTCCTCTGGTTCCACGTTCTCCTCTATTGGAGCTTCCCATTGTGCTTGTTCATCTACTGCTAACTCCTCCTCTAGCACATAATGTGAAAAATATGTTGTTTGTAGGGGGTGAGCANATAGGGCCAAGACCGTACCTCACTAGCTTCTTAGAAGATATGAGCTCCTTTTATCTTCCTCTTCTTACACTTCTCTACCCTTGTAACCCTGAGCTCTTTAGAAGGAGTTAGCTTAGGATGGAACTCTACCAATCCAAGAAAAGAAAAAATTAGAGCAATAAAATCATGCCAAAAAAAAAACAGGAAAAAAGTTTGCTAGAATACAAACACTGACTCAAATTCTTGGTCTTACCAGAGCTGAGGAACACAAAGAACATAAGAGCCATTATTCAAATCCACCTCCCAAGCATCACCTGTAACATTGATGAAATGCTCCTTCCAGGTCTTATGCGAAGATGGAGCACCTACGACTACGGCCTTGGCATTGACACGCTTGGAGATGTAGAAGAAGCAATCTATAAGGAAGCACTTGACATTGAAGAAATGGAGGAGCTCAGCCATAGGAGGAGCGCGTCCTAGGTCATTCTCTCTCTAGAAAATTAAGAGGCTGACTAGTGTCCCCCAAACATTGGGAGACATCCTTGAGGGCCAGATGTTGAAAAATCAAAGGACACTTTAGACGAAGGGATGCATGGAAAACCTAAGACCTGACTAAAAGGCTGAAACAAAGAAGCAGGTCCTCCCAAATGGATAGATGTTGTAATTTACGTTTGAATGAGGATAAAGAACATCTCCAAGGGTGCTCTTCAAAATAGATAGTCAAAATATATTAAAATATTACATTCTTTATTTTAAAGAGCCACTTTTATAAAGTTACTCTAACCATGCTCTCTATTTTAACTAATTACTACTAATATTTTAAGTCAAAAATATTCCATATCTTGACGCGTTATCAAAATGTAAAATAGCTAGGCCCTTAGAGTGCAAAAAGAGTGATTTGGCTCTCCAAATGTAAAATAGCTAGCCAAAGAGGCCCTCTAAATGTAGAGAGTCATTTAGCCGAAAGGTAAAATAGCTAACCAAATAGCTAGCCCTCGTAGTAAAATTTTGTGGTTTGACTCTTTATTTTAGCTAACAAATGTCAAATTGCTAGCCAATTGGAGATGCTCTAAGCTACAACACCTTCAGGGAATTGGAACCAGTTAACCAAATATTGGAGCCTATGATTAGTAATGTGGCTCGGGTTCAAAGACACGGATGCCCCTTACAAGTCCCAAGACCTACTCGAGGTACTAACCCCTCCAAAATGGGAAGCTCGGGTAGGTTTGTAGATCTTTTTATTAGGAGTCCTTTTTCTCTTACCAAGAGTAGAACTCCCCTCCTTAGGCTTATTCTTGAGAAGGATATGAGGGACCTCTTGGTGAGATGTACTCTCCTCATGAGGTACCTCAGGTAGAGGGTTCTCCTTCTCTTCTAGATCTATCATTTTTCTTTGGGGAGAGGACTCGACCTCAGGATCCTCATTCCTATCCCAAAATATAAGGTAAAAAGAAGACCTAGTAGTTTCAGATGAAGACCCAGACATATCTAAATTCGAGGGTATAAAATAACCAAACCTAACCTAAAATAAAAATAAGGAGAAATACTTAGAGAGTAATCCTCGATGGCAAGAGAGTCTCAGCACAAAAGGCCAAGAAAGAAAACCCTAGCTATGGCAAAATGGTCTAAGCAGAGGGGAAGAGTTACTAAAGACCTACTTGAACCCCTAAAGTATAGAAAATGTAGCATCAAAAAGTGAAGAGCCTAATACCACCACTGGGATTGAAATAGTCTAGGATTGAGGCCAAAAAGCTAAAAGAAAGAAGGATACTATACCTAGAGGACAGTAATGACAGACAAAGATGAACAACTTAGCCACAAACAAGACGAGCATCGGAGAACCTAAGGTCGAAACCTCTCGATTCATCTGAAGCTCTCAATGGATTCTTCTCGAATCTCAAAAGAACACTCTAGGGATTGTAAGAAAATTTGGGGAAAAAGCTTTAGAGTTTGAAAGGATTTGGTAAAGAGAGAGTTTGGATTTAAGAAGGGTTTAAATAGGAAATTTTTGGCATTTTTCTCTTTCCATGCGCATTAAATGCATATGCATGCCTCCCCACGTGCCACAATTGTAATGCCCCCAAAACCACCTTGGATGGCATCACAATCTAAACCATTCAAGCATTAGAGCAACTAAATAAATCCATCATTAAAGAACCTCTCATTCGTCAAATATAACATTTACAATATCATCCCAAATGAATAGGCCATCCATGGCCATTATATCCAAAAGAATATGCCAGGCTATGACAATTACATCCCAAAAGAATCAAATTTAACTTGCAGTGGAATTACAAAAGGTTAGACTTTACATAGTCTCAAAATAAATTCCCTAGTCTAGAACAGGAGAGGATATAACTCTAGACGTTCACCTCGGGTTCCACGTTCCCCTCTATTGGAGCTTCCCATTGTGCTTGTTCATCTACTACTAACTCCTCCTCTAGCACATAATGTGAAAAATATGTTGTTTGTAGGGGGTGAGCACTAAGCTCTATAGCAACATTCTCTCAAACACAAACAAGGTTTAGAAAGCATGCAAAACAGTCGCTCTCATTTTACAAATATCATAGACATAACTTTTGAGGAAAAATAGGGACAATTCGATCTCAAGTTTACACCATAGCAATAAGTTAAATGAAAGGAATAAACGAGTCAAGAAATCAATTTAGTCATGCAATAGCATCATCTCATATTCTTATGTATGTTGGTCGCTTCCCATGAATTTACACCCTGATTCTACCTCGTTCACCCACCACAATCACACAATCCCGAAATATTTTAGGAATGGCGTGTACCGTCTCTCACGACATTGACAAATCCTTCCAAGAAAAGGTATATCATCCCTCACTCTCGAACTTACGTGAATAATAGTAGTTGCTCTCACAAACAACAAACTACTACAAGTGTTAGGAAACCATCTCANCCGAAATATTTTAGGAAGGGCGTGTACCGTCTCTCACGACATTGACAAATCCTTCCAAGAAAAGGTATATCATCCCTCACTCTCGAACTTACGTGAACAATAGTAGTTGCTCTCACAAACAACAAACTACTACAAGTGTTAGGAAACCATCTCACCCCCATTGGGATAGACTAACCTCTAACACTCTACGACAGTGCTTGAATGCAATTCAAGTCCATCACCACAACCATACAAGAGATGTAATCACAAATATTTTCTCAAATCACAATGAAATCCAAAATCCCCAATTTCCACAATGTGCATTACAAAAACACAATTTAAGAAAATAAGCATGAGATCATCACAAATATCATTTACTATTCAATACAAAGCACTAGAGTTTTTGAAATTAAGAACGAAGGAACAATCAAAAGAAACATTCATTTATCTTGAAAACTAGGGTTTCATGGCAAGAAAAGAGATTTAATGGTTATTCAACCAAAACATTATTTAAAACATGGTAATATTTGCAAGAATGTCAAGAATCAAAGATTCCATAGCATACATACAAGATTTAGAGTCAAAAAAATACATATATATAAGCCCTAGCCTCAATGTAAGAGAATAGGAGAAACCCCTACCTTGGTGTTCTTGAAGAAATCTAGAGTTTTGATTCAATCCCAGGCACAAATTCTCTTTGATCTTGTGTTTTTCTCTTCCTTTCTTCCTCTCTAAGGTTTTCTAGGGTTTGAGGTGTTGAAATGGGGCCAATGGAGGCGTCATTATGTATTTATAGGGTGAAAAATGAATCCTAGATTGCAACTTAAAATTTTTGGAACTTACAGAGCGTACCAGTACAGTAGACTCTCTGGAAAGTAGCGTACCGGTACGGTAACTTCCGGGCGTACTGATACACAGTACCAATATAGTCTGTTCAATTTTGTCTGTTTCCTTTATTTTTCATTTCCAATCCATTCTCAACCCTTCTAAAACCAACCCAAACTTATATACCATACATTTGGACATCAAACATAGTTGGTACAAGTTCGATTACAAAAAAAAAAATTCATACATTTACTTGCTACATATTAAAATAAAAGTGTGGGGGGTTTACAATCCGTCCCCCTTAAAGAAAGTTTCGTCCTCAAAACTTACCTCAAGTAGCGAACAAATGGGGGGTACTTCTCTCGCATCTCTAGCTCTGGTTCCCAAGTAGCTTCCTCCACTCCATGGTGTTGTCACAAGACTTTCACCAGTTGAATGACTTTGTTGCGAAACACCTTCTCCTTGGTGTCAAGAATCTTCACCGGTTGTTCTTCATATGTTGCTCCATCTCGAA